CTCTGGCTCTGTGTGGGAGGAGGGGCAGCAGGTATGTCCATATAAATAGGCCTTGGTCAAGGCTGAACAGGCGCAGAAATCCTGCTCAGGGGAAATCTCACCAAAGGGCCTTGTGTATAAGATCACATCCATGGCACCCGTGATGGGGGATAAACCCAAAGGTAACCCTGTGTCTTAAATACTGAGCGAGGTAGACACCTGCACCGAAACGTCTGTAATCTGTAAATGTTCCAGAAGATGACATTCCCACACGTGACCATTTAGGGACAGTTACTACGGATGCATGGTTTCCGGCTTCTCCTGGGACCCGCCGCGGACTCGCATGGGTGTCCGTGCAGCGCTACCTATGTGAAAACTCCACGCTGCGTGTAACCTACCAACATATCAAGTAAGCTTTTTCAAGTTGGCAGGTCTAAAGGCAATTTTCATTTCCTCTCAAGGGAATTACTTCTATTACCCACCCTATTCTGCCCTCCTTCCTTCCAGTCTCACTGATCAGGATAACCACCATGTCCACATTCTCCTTCCTCCCTTGCTGGGTGGAAATCTGACTACCAGGGTTGACGTTTCATTCACAGTGAATCTGACAGACGCACCTTCCTCCAGGATCCCCACAGCCTCCAGCATCTGGAGATCAGCTCAGCTCACCTCCCCCCACTCCCCAGGGTTGGTGGGAGGCGGCTGCAGGGTCTCCATTCCCACCCATTCTAATCATCACCCAAGCACTGCAGGAGCCTCCGTCTCCAATCTGACGTCCAATCCACTTTCCTCCATGCAGTCAAGGTGGAAATTTAGTGAACTCTCTTCCCAAATCAAAATGCGTAAATGGCTTCCAGTTGCCTTTGCAATACTAGCTCCCTAGTGGAATCCACGCCCTTCTCCAGCTGCCGGTCTTGACAAAGTCACCCTCGTTCCCTCTGAGCTCTCGCCGCACAGAACTTCCTTCCCTCCTTCGTACAGATCCCGCTCTCATCCACCTCTGTGTCCTCACTCCCCCTGTGCTCCTCACTCGGAACATAATCCGCACACATCCGAAACCCAGGACGAGTCCTGTTTTTCTTCACACGCCACTGGCTCTGGGGAGTCTTGGAGGCTGGATGTCCTTCCTATGAGCTCTGCAGAACTCTGCACCTCCTTCACAGCAGTGCTTCATCAGACCCTATTAAAACTGCCCAGATCGGTATTCCCACTAAAAAGGCAAGGCCGATCTTCACATCCCACCCATAGGGAGCAGGCCAAGGAGCTGTCCATCTGGATTGGAGGGAATGAGTGTACACGTGTGCTCTCCATCAGATCGATCTTCCCAAAGTTTACTTACTGCCGTCATGTCAACCCTCTGCTTGTATGTATTTCACCTGCATAATAAATCCTACTTGTTCTCCACAACTCCCCGTAACACAGCTCTACCCCATCAGACTATGCTTATTCTGTTGCACTTCCTGTGCTGCACCTTCCTCTCCCACTGCAGCTGGCCACCATATAACTCGACACTGACCCACCGCCTGTGCTTTGCCACAACCTACCAGGATTCTCTTCCTGCCAGACCCCTGTGCCAAGGCCAGACCAGGCCACACACCTGAAACAAAACCCTCTCTGTTTTAGCCATACTCTCTGCCTTGTTTATGTGTCAACCTGGCGGGGCCACAGGGTGTCCACATATTTTATTATTATTTACCATTATTATTCTGGGTGTGTCTGGAACGGTGTTGCTGGATGAAATTAACACTTGAATTGCGGACCTGAGTCAAGCAGACTGCTCTCTACTTTGATAGTTCTCATCCAGTCGGAGCAAGAAGGCTGACCTTCCACAAGTAAGAGGGGACCCCTCACCTGACTGTCTGAAGCCAGGACGTTGTCTTTTCCTGTTTACAGACTCAAACTGAAACGTCAGCTCTTCCTGGGTCTTGAGCCTGACTGCTTCTGGATTGGAACGTATACTATCAGCTCTGCTGGGGCTCCAGCTCACCCACTGCAGCTTTTGGGACTTCTCAGCCCCATAATTGTGGGAAATCAATTAGATACACACACACGTATATATATGTATGTCTATATAAACACACACACACACACATATACACACACACACACATATATATACACACATAGAGATTTGTTCTTCCCCACTTATTCACACATTCACACACTTAAATATTTAATAGTTCTCATTTAACATATACAACTTAAATGTCAATAATTTGACTCTTTTTCGATAGAGATCATGTCAACCATGTTCCTGACATAGATTTTCCTTTTTTTTAAAAAATAAATTTATTTGTTTATTTTTGGCTGCGTTGGGTCTTTGTCGCTGTGCGCAGGCTTTCTCTAGTTGTGGCGAGCAGGGGCTACTCTTCGTTGCGGTGTGCGGGCTTCTCATTGCGGTGGCTTCTCTTGTTGTGGAGCACGGGCTCTAGGCTCACAGGCTTCAGTAGTTGTGGCCCACGGGCTCAGCAGTTGTGGCTCGCGGGCTCTAGAGCGCAGGCTCAGTAGTTGTGGCGCACGGGCTTGGTTGCTCGTGGCATGTGGGATCTTCCCGGACCAGGGCTTGAACCCATGTCCCCTGCATTGGCAGTCGGATTCTTAACCACTGCGCCACCAGGGAAGTCCCCTGATACACATTCTTACAAAACCTAAATCAGTAGTGAACACAAACTTTACTCTTTTTCTTTGACCAAAGGTTGGCAAAAGTAAGAGAAAAGTCGATGCTATGAAATTCAATCATTCTTTTGCCAAAATAAAACCAAAACAAACAAAACCCCAGAAATACTACAATGAGGAATTTCTTTGGGAAATGTGCTAGCGAAAAAAAGCTTAGTATAAGAAACAAACATGCAAATATGTGACCAGAGGTGATAAACCTGCCTTAAATTCTGTAAGGAGTGGCAGGAGGGAAGTATGAGAAAAAGGAGGGGAGGGGAGGAGTGAGGAAATAGTAAAACATTTTTAAAGAGAAAAATAAATTGTTCACTTAATTAGTTTGATGGCCTTTCTGGATAATGTAATTAGACAAATAGCAAACTTAACCTTTCTGGAAAAAACTGCATGTCCACAAGCATGAAGGGAGACACAAATCCCATGTACAAAAGCTCACAGCCCTGGCATCACGATAGCATCCAAAGATTACGCTAGAATGTCTCTGTCATATTAGTAAGAAACACCAGCATCTCCATTTTAGCAAACTGGGATTTTTTTAAAGAAGTTAAAATGAGTAAAATAAAAATATACTACGTCCATAATTTTAAAAAGATTTTTAAAATAAAATTCAGGAAAATGTCAACCACAACACCTTATTAAAATGCAGGTAATATCTAGTAAAGTAATCCTGTCCAAGGCTAAGTATGCAACTAGATGATTTCAGAAATGGAATATTAGAACTGGTTATTTCAGGAGAGATTCATAAATGAAACTAAATATCCCAATTTTTTGGATAAATATCAATTCTCATTGAAAAGCCAAATAAAATTGATTGTTAGCACACACAAAAATACTCCTTTACTCATAATTGACCCTGATGACGTCAAGAAAAAAGGGATGGAAAATGTGGCTTCTGCTCCAGGACCTGCTATTCTATTGTACCTCTTTTTGCTATTTTTGAATATTTTCTAGAAAAATATGTCTGTTGGACCTGTCCTTGTGATTATAAATGTGCTACATATTTTTGATAAAATTATATATTATATAAAAATATAGTTCACATATAATATTACAACACAGAATTTAAAAAATCAGAGCCAAGATAATCTAAAGGAAAAATGACTGGAATTAAGCCATTCGCACTCAAAGTGAGCCCTTTGCTGATCCTCAGTTCCCGTTCTAAACTTCTCTGAACTACGCCAATATTTCCACCTGTATGCTAAATCTGAACTACTTATTAATAAAAACAAAACACTACTCATGAAGTAACTGAGTTCAACTAAGCGTTCAGATAAGTCCAAATAAGTGACCCCTATGAGCTCACCAGTGTTGCATTGTGCTTTTAGGTCAAAATCCTTCTACATAGAAAAATAACATGTACAGAAAAGGCCCAGGCACGTTGCCTGTCATTTTATCTTTACATTTACAAATTAACGGAAAGTCTAACGTTCTGAAAACATTATTGTTGAAGGTCAGAATGTTGTGCTCCACATGTAACAGTCTAATTGTGAGATGATAATATGAGAAATCCAAAAAGTTACACAAGAATATTAAAAAACAACCAGTTACATAGACAGGTACAGAATCAGTAAAAAAATGTTCAAAACTAGTTTTTCCAAAGATGGATTCTGGAATCTTCAAGACCAGTAGTCATGACTATTTTGGTCTTAATATGTTCATCCTTCTGGTGGAATAATTAACATTCTGTTTTAACTTTTCCCTCCAGTACTGAGGAAATGAAATGATATAGTGACCTACCAGAAATCAGGTCCCTCTTTCACTATTACTGTTTTGTCATTCTTTGTAGAAATAAATTTATAGTTTTCTAAACCAATTCCACTCTTGAAAATGTTAATAAGTAACATTTTAAGGACAAATATGATGGAGCTCAGATGCATCTTCACTGTCAAATTTATTTTCAATTTTCAAATGTACAAAACCGTACACTTCCTTAGAAATGAATTGAAATGGATATTTGGTACTGCGGATTATTTAAACAGGATAGAAATCCCTCTGATAGCTTCTTTCTGCCCGATCTGCTGCTTCTAATAACTTTAGTGTTTATATTTCAGGTATTAAACGCTTCAAAGAGTTAAGCCTAAATCTTAAATTTTATGAAAATAAAAGCTTCTAAAATTAAGAAGATTAAAATCAGTAGCTGTTCACTTCTCATTTGTTAGAAGACATACAACTTAAAATTGGGGGGGCGGGGCAAGAATTAAATTACACAAATTAACTAAAACCGCAGTTGTCATGATTTTTAAAAATGAGAGGGATCATGGCCGATTTCCCCGATGTGATGAATTTCGGAACGTTTTATTTGTTAATGAGGTAGGATGGCCTCTTTCTCACTTTCTTTCTTTTTTCAGCTCCTCTCCCAGAATGATGTTCCTGTCCTAAGCACCGTGGTAACAGAGGAGAAAGAAGTCCAAAGGAGGCACAGCACAAAGAAGAAAACATCTAGCCGTAGGTTTTATCTCTTCTGTGCTTTGTTTTTATTCCTCTGGCTTCGAACCTTAATCAGCTGATTTTGCTACCAGCTCTAAATCTCCTTCTCACTTCCCACTGATCTCCCTTTTCAGATAAGAGATCTCTTCCTGCTGAAATTGAAAATCTTCCACTAAATGGAATCAATCACACGTTATCAGCCAAAGAGAAATCAAGATCCATTTGGAAAGGTCAGATACGGCAGGACGTTTAAAATGTTGATGACACTACATTAAACAACGGTACTGCGTCTAGATGATGATCTAGATCAGGAAATTGCTCTAAGGTTTAATGATATGCTACTATTTTGCATTTCAGCAACCACTGTATATTATGATGTGATCCCAGTAAATAATATTCTTGTAGTTACAGCAGAAATTTAAAGGCAACATTTTATCAACCATAATTTAATTTACCCAGCGTCCGATGCTAAAAATACAGTGTTTATGTTTGGACAACAGGTACTCATATAAATGTTTTTATACTTTTCCTTTTGGGGGGCCAAAATATTCATTTCTATCACTGGATGGACATTCTTATCATCACAGCAAATACGCTGAGTTTCGTTCATGCATCAATTTCTTCACTGTATCTTCAGATGTTTAATTTAATACGAGTCACACTTTCTTACTGGGGCCACAGGCCTGAATAAAGCAGGTTTCCTACACCCTCGTTCCTCACTAATAGAGAAGGTTTCAAACAAAAATTTAGATGATCAAAATTGCTCTGTTAGAGATAACCCTGTTGCTGTAGGTCTAGGCTCCTTTGGTGACTCAGAGAAGATTTATAAAGACAGACTGGAACAAATTATATGTTCGTGAGAGACAGAGCCCATGTTTTTGTTATTATCCACTGCTAAGTTAAGATAGTAAGGCTTTAGCCAAGTAAATGAAAATACTGAGCATATACATGTGTCAAGGATTGCGATGACTGGGATTCAAAGATGGAAGAGACCAAGTTCATGTCCAGGAACATTACACAGTCAGCAGGGGAGACAGAAGCACACAGATAAAACTGTAGCAGTGTAGTGACACATTACGTCATACAGAACACTACCATATAGAATAGCAATGATGACTTACTAAGTCTGGAAGGCAAACCGATATTTGAAGAGGTGAACATTGTGGTGTTTTGAATCCTGAAATGCTCCTGCATGTTTCAATCCACCATCGGCTGGATCAGAAACACTCAATGAGCATTTCAATTAATAACGGAGTCAAATGTTAGCAATTCTGTAAATGCACTTACTCTCTCAGCATATTGTCTAAGAGGCTTTATAATCTTGGGGATTCTTCAAACATTAAAAAAAAATCCCTTGTCTAAGGGAAGCGAACTTAGAAGTAATGCGGATACTTAGAGGAAATGTGCTTGTAATAGTAATTTTATTATGCAAGACAAAGAAAAATAGTCAAAAATAGAGTTACTATTTGAAACAATAAGAGAGGATTTAAAAAAAAAAACAATCTCCAATCAAAGAAGAGATAAAACAAAGCACTATTCATGAAATGCAGACCTGTTGGCCTCGCTGGTATTCTCTGGAAGCTAGGAATTGATTATACTACAAACTCAAAACACGGTCTATTTATGCCAATTAGGCCACAAAATAGATTATTCTATGTATGCATAATTAAACTGACTTCTAGATATTAAGGCAAGTTCAAAGTTAATTACACAAAATTAATTTGATTTGAGACAAGGAGGAAGATGTGTTTGTAGTACCCAAAGCAGTAAGACAGGATATGCTAATTTTGAATTAATTTGAACTTTCATTGCTGCAGTGAGCTTTCCATAGCAATGCCTACAAGAAAGGGCATTTCTCTCAATGGAATCAATGTCTGGGGAACATTCTTTAAGAAAATAAAAGGGCAAACGTGTATGCTTGTCCGTTTTGTGGCTACTTCATGCATCTTTGCAGCTCACTCTTTCCAAGGTGATCCTCTCACATGGAGTAGATTCCTTCTCTCCAGATGCTCTCCAAAGAGGGAGGGGGCAGGGGCTCACTGTCTGTCCATCTTCAGGTTCTGTCTCCTGCCATTGACCTCTGAGGATCCCTCCATTCTGGCTGCTTCTTACTTGAATTGGGTTCAGTCCTGCAGATTCCACCAGAAGCATTCCTGCATCAGGCACCAGCGGCCAGTCCTCCGGGGAAGCTGTGTGTGTGCCGAGCATCTCCAGCCGCGGCTCCTACCGAGGACCCAGGACAGAGATCCCATCACAGACAACCGGGAGGGGGCTTGTGTTTAGTAGAACATACAGCAAGTAATCCTTCTTGTGAAAAATAAGTAAAAACGGTCTTCTGTGCAACCTACATCAAACTAGTTGAGTTTTATTTCATTCTTAAAGGATTCACTGTGAAGAACAGCTCAATGTGATAGCAGATTTATATCCGATAGACCTCATTCACTTTAATCCTTCAATCACGTGTGTCCTCTGCTGTTTTGAGTGTTCAGGGTCTCTTTTTATTACTAATGCGTTTTGCAAAGGTTATCAGCAAGCAGCAGATTCATGGTGAGGGTTTACAGATACAACACGTGGGTGATTTTCCCAAGCTAATGCATTTGATGTAAGAGATGATTGAGAAATAAGATGAGTCGTCACTGCACGATGTTCTGTTTACCATGAAATACTTAAACAGGTGAGAGTGCGCAGCATCCCAAGGGCAAGCTCTTCTATACCTGGACACCACACACACACACATCATATTATACATAACCCAACCGGTTGTCAACAATAGCATAGCATCACCATGTATCGTGCCTCCTGTTGATATTGATGTTTTGAGTACTTTATTTCCTATAAAAGTGTTAGATGAATCTGTCTAAAAGCTAACGCTCTGGACTAGCTAGCTCCAACAATACTCCCAAAATAAGTACAGAAGTGTTTAGGATTTGTCAAAATATTTAGCCATAATCAAATTTAGTAATATCCATTTCCTGGGTGAACGTAAAGGTGCTTCCAATCACACACACACACCTCGACGTGATCTATTCTACATGTACAGATAGCTCACATATCTTAAAATAACTTAAAACCACTGTTCACTCTGGATCTATAGTGAAGAAAAAGAGTCTCTTCATTTCTCCAAGACAGAAATATATCACTAGGGAAGTGCACTTCTGGGACCGTGTGGACCAGAGAAACTGCACACATGAGAGTAAAGGAGCAGTCCCTGGGTTGCCCAGAGGCAACCGTGACCTGAACCTTAGGGTTTACAGGAACTTTGGTTTATTCTATTAACCAAGGGGCTACGGTCCACACAGGAAGGAGAACATGGTTTTGGCCCTAGAAAGTACATAAGGCTAGACAATCAAAAGGCTTAGGGAAGAGATACCTGCCCCACAGACACAGACAGGCAACTCATTGGGGAAACTCACTGGGGAGGATTCTGGGAGACAAAAGTTATACTCACAGACAGCCCTTTCTTGGTTTTAGAGGTTTAAACTCAGACTGCATGTGTGTCCTTAGGACATTTTAACTAAAGAATTAGCATAAAAATGGTCCCAGGTGGGTAACACTCCCTGAGCATCTGACCAAAGGGAGAGAAACCCTCTAGAGGGTAACCCTTGACTCAGGCCACACAGGACTCTCCCAGCCTGGCCACCAAGAGGCAGCAACTCACACCCCAAAGGACAAACACCAGGAGAAATAACGTTCCCTGAGCAGCTGTCATCAGACGTAACAGACAGCAAGAGTAGAAGCCTGAGAGCTCCAGATAATACAATGACTGGTTACAGACGGTATGACAAATATGTTTAAAACAAACTAAAGAACTGAAAATATAATACGAGAAAAGAACAAGAAACCGTATTTAAGAAAAATCAGATTTGATTTGAAAGAACAAAGTAGAACTCTTAGAAATGGGAAAAAAAGTCACTGAAATTAAAATGCAAAGTATGCATTGAACATCAGATTAACAGCTGCTCCAAACAGAGAAGTAAACTACGAGAAAGCACTGCAGAAATTACCCAGAACGAAGCACAGAGAGATACAGAGAGAGAGAATATGAAAGAAGTTAGAGGAGGAGAGAGAAAATGAAAAGGAACAGCATGCATCTAACAGGAGTCCCAGAGGGAAAAGGGAACGTTCACAGAGATGATGGCCAAGAATTTTTCATACTTGGTAAAATACACGCCTCTGATGATTTGCAAATCGAAGTCTCAAGAAGAATAAACAAAACAAAATTTACACCTAGAATCACTGCTATAAAATTAGAAATCTATACACACACGCGCACACACACACTCATGACAATGTTTATTTATACATCCATTTAGTCGCACACCTATTCTGTGCCAATGATGTTGCCTGGATCTAGAGGCATTAAGCTGATTAAGTCATGGTCTCGAGTCTTAGAACATTTGCTTCTTAGGGAAAGACAGCGATGTAAGCACACAATATGTAACCATGATGAGGTCCACAGTAGAGATAAGCACAGAACGTGGAGAGACTACCTGTGACCACGAAGGACAAAGGAAGGAGTCAGGAAAGCGCCAAAGGACAGAGGGACTCGAGATGAATGTTTAGAATGAGTGTTTTCCAGGTGCAGGAGGAGAACCCAGGCAGAAGGAAGAGTGTCAAGGCTTTCATTCATCCACTCATTTACCCACTCATTCATTGATTCATCCACTCATTCACTGATTCATCCACTCATTCATTGATTCATCCACTCATTCATTCATTCATCCACTCATTCATTCATTCACTCATTTACCCACACATTCATTCATTCACTCATTTACCCACTCATTCATTCATTCACTCATTTACCCACACATTCATTCATTCACTCACTCATTCTTTCATACACTCATTCATTCATTCACTCATCCCTTGATTCATTCACTCATTCACCCACTCATTCATTCCCTCGTTCCCTCATTCATCCACTGAACACGTTTGGCCAGATTCTTTCTGCAGGAGGACAGAACGCTTCATGGGAACGGGGAGGAGATTAGCGTGGCCAGGAACAGATGGAGATATGCATAAATAATTCTTAGGCAGACTAGAATGCTTGAGAGCAATGGTTTTAGAATTTTTTTCCATCATGAAAACTTTGAATACTAATCTTAAGGGATTCCAATATATAAAACAGGTAAAACAGAGATGCTCAGTTAAAAGAGGAGGTGTGTATTTAAGTGTGCATGGGTGTAAGTGTGTGTGTGTGTGTTCACAGTTGAAGCCCTATGATTCCGAGGTCCCTGTTCTCGTGACTGCATTTTATGAGTGAACGTCTCTATTAGGTCATTCTTATTCACAGAGATTTTATACTTCAGCAGCATTCTTTTAAAAGGACTACTTCTGCTCATCTATTTTATCTAAGTGGTTACGGCTGGTACATATGTGATCTTTTTATTTTTGCATATGTTTGTTTTGTAACTCAAAACATTACTGAAATATATTATTAGAGAAAATACTCTGCCACTGATTTACTGGATTTTCTAGGTGAGCTTTCATTTTACTTATAATGGTAATTTTGTCTTATCCTTGATAATGTTTATTCCTCTTAATTTTCTTCTCTGATCACAATGATTACAACTTTAGGATCAATGCTAAAAAGAATCTGGATTTATTTCACAACTGAATATGATGTCTTGAGATAAATAATTTTTTTCATGTGAAAGACTCCTTTTATTTCTAATTTCAAAAAAGATTTGGGAGTTGAATGTTTTTGTCTTTTGGCACCTACTGAAATGGTCAATTGATTTTTCTCTTTTTACTTATTGATGTGATGTATAGTACTAATAATTAAATTTCTTAATATTGATCACTGAGTAGCTTCTAATGGATTGCTAGATTCTATTTGCTAATATTTTATTTATGCCTGTATATCTACAAGTCAGATAATTTCTATTTGTTTCTTTAATCGGTAGTTCTTTTGATATGTTGATATCATAGATATTCTGGATTTAAATTTCTTTTTAAAATTTTCACACTGATAAAAGTTTTAAAAGTGGAACATACAGATAGCCAATGGATCGTTCTTCAACGATGTGAAAATAGCAACACTGTGACATATTTAGTTCAAATCTTTGTTTTTTACCAATAAATTTCACAGATAAAGTTAACATCCCCATCTGTCCATTTCACCTTCCTTATCAGAGGAAATCAGTATGATCAATTTTGTGTCTATCTTTTCAGTGTATTTTTTTAAATTAAATTATAGGGGCTTCCCTGGTGACACAGTGGTTGAGAGTCCGCCTGCCGATGCAGGGGACACGGGTTCGCGCCCCGGTCCGGGAAGATCCCACATACCGCAGAGCAGCTGGGCCCGTGAGCCACGGCCGCTGGGCCTGCGCGTCCGGAGCCTGTGCTCCGCAACGGGAGAGGCCACAGCAGTGAGAGGAACCGCGTACCACAAAAAAAAAAAAAAAAAAAAAATTAAATTATACATGTATGTATCTATAAAATATGTAATATTATTGTATTTAAAATTATATAAATATTATTTATATGTACCATTCAGCAAATTGCTTTAACTCAACTTTAGATTTATAAGATCTATTCTTACATACAGTTGAGGTTCATTTACTTACATTATTTTAAAATACTCTACCATGACCACCGCCTGATTAATTTATGCATTTCCTCAGATCCCATCATTTCTTTTCTTTTCTACTTGTGTATTTGCGTCTTTGCAAAGTGTGCCGGTGAAGACCCATGTCCATGTTTTTTATGCACATGCGTGGGTTTCCCTATGCAGAGTTTTTCCACCTCGGGGCTGCTGAGCTCTGCGATCTGATGACTCTCTGCTGTGTGGCCATCCTGGGGAAGGCGGGGCCGTTCTGCAGCTCCCTCTGCCTCTGCTCACGAGGTGCCAGTAGCACCCCCTCCCCAGGCTGTCACAGCCAAAGATGTGTCCAGATATTGCCAAGAGCGGCCTGTGGAGTAACACCCACCTGCCTTTGTATGTTATACACGTGTCCAACTTGACCAAACACTGTGCTTCGAAGTGGCTGTACTAACCTAAACTCTCATCGGGAGCGTGTCAGAATGCCTCACCCTTTGTATTATCTGATTTTTCTTACTGTTGCAAATATTTTCATTGTGGAATGGTACCTAATTATTCTTTCAGTTTCCATTGCCTCGATTACTCGTGAGAATGTGCATCTTTTCATGTGAGTATTGGAACTCTGGGCTTCTCTTCTGCATAATCTGCCTTCTGAAAAAGGAACAAAGAATTTTCTTCAGTCGCTCATTTCTGCAATGGTTTAAACAATTGTTTGTTCTCCGAAGGTCTGAAAGAACTCGCTT